TCTTTAGGTAGAATACGTTAATCAAAGCTTATATCTATTACCAGTGAATCAAACAAATATTTTAGTTATTATTCAGAGCACCTAAGTGCTCTAAGCACACTGAGCACTGAATGTGAGTTTTATAAGTTATTGTAGATATTTTAAAATCTGCAGTACAACCAAATTTGTTATTTGAGGACATTTAGGTTAAGGGTTATATATTATGAGTTGATACAATGCCAATGATATATCTAACTAGTCAAATTTATCGTGTGGTTCCCATGTACATAGGACTCCATTATCTAACACAATGACCGAATCAAAACAAATATGTTTTAATTTCTATATATTGTACGAAGTTTGAGCCTCAACGGTGACCTTTTTCAAGTACAATGTCAATGACAGTTTATTTGCTCATATATATAATTGCAGTATATTTAAACAAAAATACACTATCCTTAATTGTCATTGTACTTACTTGAAAAATGCCGTGGTGGCCGAAACGTCGACACAATAAACAGAAAATTAAACATGTACCAGATGTTTTAAATTCAACTATCACTAATGGGAGCTCTGGAATGGTAGGAGATACGAAGGCAGTTAATTAGCGGCAACTTAGATATAGACGAATGAAACCGAATCTTCTCAAAATCGTTTTTCTTGGCTTCAATTGATGGGATTTCAAAATGAAAAACTACATTAACATTGCAACTTTTTCTCCTCTACAAGATGGCGTAATTTGATTGTCATATTTTTTCCTTATAGACGCTATATATGGTTTCTGGCACAGATAAATAGTTTTTGATTCTAGCTCCAGAAATGTATAACATGTGACACATTGACAGTCATTAGTTTCACATTAGCGTCATCCAAGTATTCCTTTGAATGAAGTAGGCATAGTTCGGCAGTCCCTACTTCCGATTTTATTGTTTTAATCAAAGTGTCATTCTTAGAGCTAACTATGAAGATAATAGTTTTTTTGAAATACAGGTCTGGCAACGTATGATATACTAACCATTTTTGGAATCGGAATTAAAACTATTTACCTGTGCAAAAATCCAATACGACATCAAAAAGAAAATATAAAGTTGATGATTGAGGACCAGAGATGAATCGGAGTATTGGAATTGTAATTATGCCTTTTTGTAAAGCGGATAAAGTGGCAATGCTGTTATTCAGAAATCCCATCTCAAACTGAGTCAGAGAGAAATAAAAGCTATTTCGGAAAAAAACAGGTCTCTTCCAGAGACACTCGAAATTATGAAACTAAGAACCACTTCCATAGTAACCTAAATGCGCAACTTTTTCTCCATTTGACCGACTTCGAATCTCTTACCGTTTCCGAGATCCCTACGGTGAAAGTCGAATTTGAAACATCCGATATGTGGTCTGTTCCTGCTACACAGTGGAATCCAATGCCAACAATCTTACAGCACCAGAATTTTCACTCTCATAGGATTGTTTAAAGACTTTTAGGGTGTGCTGTTCAGTGTAAACCGTGACTTGAAAAGTCGGAATAGATATTGCTATTTATTGCACAACTAGATGAGAGATCTTTCTACTGTCCTCGCAGTACCATACTCTTCGTGATTTTCTTCAAGAATCTATAAATTTGTCACTCATGGCTTGCCCTTAGGACTCAACTTCTGGGCAATCATAATGCTGTAATATTAAGGTATTGGCACGCGCATCTCTAAAATTGGTTATATTAGTCCGGATTGTCGTGACAAATTCGACCATCTGCAAATACCTGAAAATTATTTGCTTCAATCAAGTGCTTGAGCCCCAGGGATGAGTCTTGTACACTTTTGCGGCTTTCGCATAATCTGATGCATTAGACAAAGGTAATGACTCTTGTGTTAGATCCGGTAATTTTTGATTTCGATAGCTGTGATACATGCACATAAAAGTAACATTCATCCATCTTCTAAGAATAGACTTTTGGCCGTTATCTGCGAGATTTACACCACTTATTCAAATCAAATGTTCTGACGATCATGGTCTGGAACTTTGAACAGCAAATTTTTTGCCAGAATGGCGCGCTAACGGTCATCAATTTAGACTCAAAATGCCTGGTCACATTATCGCGAATATGAATTCCTGAATGGTCCACCCAGACCCAGCAACAGCCAGCATTTCAAAGTTATATTTTCAATTAAAGGCTGTACAGACACGACTGAAGACGATAAGCAATTTAAGTTTAGAAAAAACTGAATTGGTATTACACATTTCTGTTACTAAACTAAATCTTGTAATATTCCGCTTATGGATCTAAAATTCAAATAGCCGGTCGCTATCCCATATATGTCATTTTTTTGATCTTGTACTTTTCGGGAGTACCTACCAAGTTCTCTTTTTATGAATCGTAAACTTCAAAAGCAATATAGCATATTTTGATGTAGATACCGAGCTCTTTAGAATAATATGCTATTTTAAATAATGGCTGCTACTTGAATTTAAGAATCTGATATGTAAGTAACCCTTTAGGTTATCGTTGAATATTTCCATCTCCGCGCTTTCCAAGTCTTCATCGTGCTAATGTATTTTTCAGACGTTAAGGAATGACCTACCAGTCAGACACCGCATGATCATCAAAGAATGGTGGTTGATTTTACAGAGTTAGCTTCTAAACATCCTAGGCTATTATTTAGGTCATGTAATACATAAGTTACGTTAAATAATCATAAAACACTAACATCTTCTAAAATTAAATAAAATCAATATGAAACGATACATTGGACAACTTGGCTTGAAAGGGTACCTCCTATACAATTTATTCTTTCCTGGCAAATTATAGGATATGCATCCATGTACGACATATCAGCTGTGAACATAATCAATACCAACACTCTAGGAACTTTATGTATGTCTTGAAATTAATCTGGAAAAACCACTGCATGCATCGTACTGTTAACAAAACAGAAGTACTGGTAAATAAATTTACTATTATACAAATGAAGAGCAAAAATGCAAAAACCGATAAATCCATTTTTTGTAGCAACAATGCAGAAACCTCTAGAGACAAATCCTCGTCAAATTTAGTTGTTTAGACAATAAAATTCTGTTTGTCTCTGACTAACATATCTGAAACTTTATTAAAAGTATTCACAAATCGCAGTCGTTTTTCTGGACTACAGACTAAAATGATGACGTAATCGTCATCTTTCCTGATTTCAACTATAAGAGTAACACGAACACTTACAGAAAATATAAAGAAAATGATAACTAGATACTCGTATGGACGGCAGTTTCCTCTTCCAGTTAGTCGCAAATTTCCTCATTGTTCTCTCCTGCGACAGCTTCTTCAGAAAGCATTTTGTACCATCTGAGTTTTTCTACACCTTTCCAATCTTCGCCAAATTGCTGAGCCATTAAAACCCTTATCGACTTCTTAAACTTTAGGCCTCTAAAAGCTACACAGGTCTCTATCACATTTTTTCACTTTCATGAGAATTTGAAACTTTTAACTTGCCAGTAACAAACCGATAGTGCGGAAAAATGCTGAAAAAATAATAATGTAATCTACGCCACCTGACCAGTTGATTTGATAATAAATTCACAGATGGCATAATACAAAATAACAGTTTTAGATTTACGCTTTTTGCATTAATTTTGAATTTATCGGGTTTTGCATGAATGCACTGAGGTTGTATATATTCTTCATGAGGACTTAGCAGCTTTTGCTCATGTCGGTCTTTAAAAACGGATAGAGCATATCGAAAGTAACCGAATTCCATGTCCAACGCAAAAATCATAAAAAGTGGATTTATCGGTTTTTACATTTTTGCTCTTCAAATATTATAGGATTCCAAACTATATACTGTGTGTCAAAAATAAACCAAATATGTACAAAATATACAGTGTTTTCCAGAAGGGTCTATTTGTTGAAACTGTCACGTTAGCAACTTTAAAGTCGGGATGATGAAATTGGTGCATGAATACCAGATGCTGGAGTAAAAGTGACAATTGGTGGCATGGCGCTATATTGGCGTATTTTTGAAATGGAATGCAGGGTCATGTGACCTTATTTTGAAGTTCCTTATAGCCTTAGAACATACATTGAATCGCTCATAATCAGTCATCAAAGCTGTAAAGTATGTTAGTCATTTACTGCTGGAATGATCTGAATGTGCAATAAAATATGGGACGTTCCATTTAAAGAAATTGACAAATTTTGATAAGCTGGTATGGCCGCTAATTCAAATTACATTTAGATCAATTACTGTTTATTCTGGTTGCCGATAAAATAAACAGTAACATAAAGCACCCGTGGCTATTGGGAAAAAAGGGGAACGGGCGAACGTCACTCGAACTCTAGCGAGAGAGAATCAACGTGAAACCACAAGATAAGTTTCTGATGTTAGACTAACGGAATGATATACACTTTATTACAAATTTGGATGAAACCGTCCAAGAGAATGAGTCGGATACAACACACTGTATCGGTTTGATGACTGGTTATGGAGTTACTAGGGATTCAATGAACAAAAGCGCCCAACTTCGCCAGCCTGTAGTATCTAACATATCCTGTAGTTCTCTTGTTGATAAAACTGTATGTTGTCTGGTCGTTAAATAACACCCTTATATATGTGGAAATTACTTTGACATTTCGACCATCCTGGTGGTGACAGGTAAATAAAACATATATTGTCATTGCTCTTTAAAAAAGTCACCTGCATGGCCGAAACAACAATGAATTGTAATTTCCACATACGTGGTTGCACATAGCGGCCGGCCATCGAGTGAATTTTTTGTCAACATGAGGTGTCACATGACCACCCGGTCCATATACCAAAGAGTCAAGTTGGTGCTCATCTACGATCTTCAAATTTTCAACAGTCATTTTTATGCCAAAATACAATACATCAATTTATTTACCCCGAATTTCATGTTACTAACTTGACCCGTTCAAAAAATAAGCGCGGAGGGAGACTTCTTTGGAAAGCAAGGTGTGTTGACATAATTATAACGATATTCGAGCAAGTACATAGGAGATTCAGATTATAAACCTTTTAACCTTTTTCAGAGCCGATTGCTTGAAGATGCAATGTGCAACTCTTGGTCTCCGAGGCATAATGTGAGTCCACTGAGTAGCCAGATATTTTTTTATAATCTTGAGTTGCTTGTAATATCTTATGCATGGCTATTCCATTATGAATGTTAGACTTTTAGATTTTCCATGCATTCCTATCATAGCGTTATTTATTCTAGCTCCAAAATAGGTTACACAATGGTGATACCGATGGAACTATATTTTTTATACCATTTTATACCATGTGGTTATAACACCCTTTGCGCTTCGCAATACTCTTGAACAACAGAAGTAGTGTGAACGCTAGCACGTATGTGTTTTTGCTCTCATCTGAACCCCAAAAATCCGGTTTACAATGTGCACCTTTTTGCCATTGTAGGTGTCTCGCCCTAAATACTAAGCAACTGGATGGTTGTCTAACCTGGATCTGCAGGGATTGTCAGGAAAACTTAAAAGAGCCTTCTCGGATGACCTTCGGAGCATTTCATCCGCCGAAGACGATCGTTGCTTGTGGGTCAGCCGGTGCTGGAGGCAATGATGCATTGATAGCCACAATGCAAGATATAATCGCTGAAATCAGGCAGTTACGAGAACGACAAAATTCACTAATGAATTTCGCAACTTTTTGTAGCGATTTCGATTCTGAAGAATTGTCAAAGATTGGCCAATATGAACTAAAAAGCTTCTAGAAGAAAATGCTGCCCTTAAACTGGAGGTGTCGCCCAGTAAAGCTCGAGTGAACGGTTTTGATCAAACTTCTAGAACTAATAACATAGAAGTACAGGGCGTCCCCAAAAAGCAGAACGAAGATCTTAGTGACACCCTGTTGAAAATGTGTGATTATGTCAATTACAAAATACATCCGGCTAAAGTTGAATATCTTCATCGTGTGCCAATAAACATAAACTTACAAAATAAAATAAAGAAATCGTCCGATTTGCTTCTCATAAAAATAGAGACGGACATTTGGCAGCTATAGTCAACGCCAAACAAAGTGGCGTGCACGTCATCACGATAAAAATTCCCCGACCTAATGCCTAGGTTTCTATCACAAACAATTGCTCTATTGCAGTTTCATATTAATGTGATATATAAATTGTAAAATGGTCATTACTCTCTTATTATGGTTAATAGTCATATAAACATTGTTATTAAAATATCACATAATTTGCTTTCTGATAAATTTAGACGCATTATGCGAAATAAAATGTTTTGCAAACGCTCCAATCACTTATCGACATGTAAACGCACTAAACCGATTTCGCAGCGTTGACACATTGTCACCTTGAAACTTATTTAAACTGGGAACTGACATTTGTATTAATTTTGACACTGAATCAATTTGTGGCATTTCAAATCTTTATAAATCCTTTGGCCCCGCATACTGTAAATCAACAACTGTTTGTTTCAAAACAAAATTATTCATTTTACGAGTAGATAAAGGCAATTTTGGTATATAAAGATGCTCAAACAGTTAAATAGTCGGTGTAAGGAACTCGTGGCCTCGTTAATGCACTACTTTGAGCAAGAAAGGGACAACAACGGGCCTTTGTTGCCTTTAAATGCTGTTCAAGAGGTAGGTTACTAATAATTATATGTAATGTATATTAATAATAGTGAAATTTTATTTCATTTTTTGTAGCGTGTTGCTGCTGCTTTAAAAATTAGTTTAAGGACAGTTAGTCGTATTTCCGAGGGTGTGAAAAGTGATGCAAATTTAGAATCGCCCAAGAAAAAGCGGAGTTATATTAAACGTGTAACCAACACAGCGACATTGGATACAAGTGCCATTCGAGAAGTGATCTATAATATGTATCGCAAAAGTAAGATCTTATTATAATAACTTATCAGAAATTTGCATTAATTTGTTAACTAAATTATAATGTCATATTACACATGGTTTCAGAAGAACAAGTTACGATACAAACTTTATGGTCTCGATTAAGAGATAGGGCATTATTTGATGTTAGTGCCACGTCTTTAAGGCGGTTGCTTAGATATCTTGGATTTAAGTGGCTTAAGGACAATCCGCGACGAGGGCTCATGGAACTACCAAGTATAGCTTTGAAAAGGTGGAATTTCTAAGGCAATACAATCAAGCCAAGGTTGAGGCCTTATACCAGTTTGTCTTCCTCGATGAAACTTGGATATTTCAAAATGGGACCATAGGTCGCTCTTGGCAAAATGGAAACCAAAAAAGCGTGAAAGCTATTAAAACAGATGGTAAAAGGTATGTACTTTTACACAATTTGCACTATAAAATTTAAAACTAATATATTTTAGATACATTATATTACATGCTGGAAATGAAAATGGGTTTATTGAGGGTAGTGAAGCGATATTTTCTTCGAAAACAAAATTGAGCGATTACCATGGAGAGATGAACCAGGACAATTTTTTGAAATGGTTTCAACATCAGTTATTAGAAAAATTGGAGAGTCCATCTATGATTATACTGGATAACGCCCCTTATCACAGCATGATATTGAACAAACAAAAAAAAATATCCAAGACTGGTTGACAAATCAAAACATACCATTTTTAAACACAATGTTTAAAACAGAGCTATTGAGTATAGTTGCTCGGTACTAAATGCTTCTTAATTATATATATTTTGGTCGACAGTTTATATTTCTTTTGTTTATTCCTATTCTTAAAATAACTGCTTTTTTAGAAACAAACCACCTAAAATATACGTGATTGATGAATTGGCGGAACAACATGGGCACAAAGTTCTTCGTCTGCCTCCTTACCATTGTATATTTAACCCTATTGAGTTAATTTGGGGCATAGCAAAAGGTTACTATAACAGACATATTGGTAGAGATGGTAACAGTGAAAAAGACTGTTTGGATATGTGGAACGAGGCTCTACAAACGGTTTTCCCCAGACATGTGGAAAAATAGTGTTCGACATACTGACCAAGAAATTTTTAAATGGTATGAAAGAGAACGAATTTTTGATCGACCAGACATCGAACCTTTAATAATCAACTTTGAGAGTGATGAAGATTCAGATTCAGACAGCGCTGAAGAAAGAAACTCCGACTAACTTTATTGTACAGAAAAAGCTTACACCAGTAGCTTACCTAATTTTAGAATGCATGTTTCTGTATGAATTCTGTAAAATAAATACCATGCATAAAATTTGGAGGACCCCATTTGGATTTTTATTCAGTAACTTTAAGCTATCAATTAAATATGGTAGTTTCATAGTGTCATCTGATCAATAATTGTCATACTTAATGATTATGCAAGTACAGATCTATAATTTTATTATACTATTATTTTTGTTCTCATTTGAGGTTAATATTGCTTATAAACCTAGATATGTAAATAATAAATTTTATTATTTTACAAGAAGTTTGGCAACAATGTAAATTTTTCAACACACCCACCTTGATGACGTGCACGCCACTTTGTTTGGCGTTGACTATACAAAGGCCAAGCGCCTGCAACGCGAGAAAGGTTCGCCAAAGGAGGCGATTCAAGCCATATCTGATCAATTATGTATCAATGAACCTTACAATTGGAAATATACTTTTATATTTTATATATACTAAGTGACATATAAATCCCAACACCCAGTTTAAATGGTTTTATTTTAATAAAATTTTGTATAAGTACTTAATGAAGCATAATAAGTAAATGATAAAAATTTCAAAATGATTGCCCTGCTTTAAAGCCCTTTGAATAATGTGTGGATGCACCCTGATGTGCTACGCATTCTCCAACGCGCCTAGGCATGCTTCTGATCAGGTGGTCAATGTCCTCCTGTGGTATCTCATTCCAGGCAACCACCAACTCCTCTCGAAGTGCTTCTAGAGCCTGAGGAGGACGTTGCAAATTGAGCCATCTCCTACCCATCATATCCCACACGTGCTCAATTGGGGATAAGTCGGGAGATCTTGGTGGCCATGGTAACAATGTGACATCATTATGTTGAAAGAAGTGTATTGTGACTCTTGCAACATGTGGTCGGGCATTATCTTGTTGGAAAGTTGGATCTGCCAGGGTGTCAAGATAGGGTAAAAGATGGGGTTCTAGAACGTGGATATAATGCTGAGCGTTCATGTTACCTCTGATGAAGATTAAAGGTGACCTGGAACCATAAGCTATAGCACCCCAAACCATAACTCCAACAGTGTGATGAACATGTCTTTCAACAAAAAACTGTGGATTCCTCCTTTCACCACGTCGCCTTCTAACCCTGGCACGACCATCGTGCATGCCTAAGCAAAATCGAGACTCGTCACTAAAGACAATACTGTTCCATTCCTGATCCCAGAGTGACCGTTGTCTGCACCATTCAAGGCGATTACGTCGGTGTTCTCGAGTTAAAGGGAGGACCCAGTGTGGCCGGTATGAAAACAAGCCAAAACTTCTCATTCGTCGGTAAACACTTCGCATGCCAATAGGTCTTCCGTGTTCTGCAAACCATTCATTTGCAATGGACCTGGTAGTGGAGAAACGGTCCCTTAAGGCCAATAATCTTAGGCGGCGATCTTCACGGTCTGTTGTTCTACGGCGGCGTCCAGTGCCCCTTGCTCTTTGCGTACGGCCTTCTCGAAGCCATGCCTGACAACACCTAACCACAGTGTCTACACTTCTTTGCACTCTAACTGCAATTGCACGAAAAGAAAGTCCAGCTTCCCGAAGTCCCTATCAAACTCACTAAGTTGACGAAATCGTACAGGTCTCCGTACTCAAGGCATCGTAACCGATCGTAAAGGATGTCAAGAACCAAAATCCGCCAACGTTGATTCTTTACTGCGGCTGAAATATTAATTTTTAGAGCGTTAGTGAATTAAAAAAAAGCTGTATAAAAACCGGAATGTCCAACTGATAAGGCTGAAAAGTTTTTCACTTGTTATTTACAGTAAGATAAATACATTCACCAACTTTTATTAAAATAAAACCATTTTAACTGGGTGTTCGGATTTATATGTCACTAAGTATACATACCTTCTAAAAAGCACTGCACGTCGATGTTTCCATTAATACTATAAGAAGAGCCTATAAAATACCATCGCCGAACTCCATGGCACAGTGAAGACCCGTTAGACTGGTAATTCTGTTGGGTGCTCCGATATTCCTTAAGAAAGTACATTTACGCCATTACGTTTTCCCATAAATCTGACATTTGTGGCAACTTTGTCATTTAAAGCTGTACCTACTCCAGGCTAATTACAATACAAGGTGTGACTTGAGAGACTTATATATCAAGAAGAAATCAATGACCAGAAGTGAGAAAAAAACAAAAAATAAAACACTGAACGATAATCAAAGGAACTAAAAAGAATAATTGAACAAAACAATGCTATACTGTTGGAAAAAGAAAAATACATATTACAATTAGAAACAGAAAACAAAAGACTACAAGAAGATTACGAACAAAGGACTAATATAATGCATTATAACGAAAATATGGAAGATAGAATTAAAGCTGTTGAATCGAATGGCACAACCTTCGATCTTATAGCAAGGTAACAGCCAGATCTAAGCCATACAATAAGCCCCTAAACACACAATGCTTGAATCCTACTAAAGAACAGACAATACTTGAAACAAAAAAATATTTAAGTAAGATTGACCTATCGAAACTGAAAGTACAAGTAGACAACATTAAACACACTAAAAAGGAGGAATCGAATTGAAACTAGAAGAAAAATACCTCACTACACTGAAAAATGAAATCGAAAAAAAGTTATCTAGAAAATACAATGTTACAGAACAATAAAAGAAGCTACCAAGAATCAAAATTGTCGGCTACAGAAGTGAAGACCCACCTACTGAAGCAAGCCTCAAGGAAAGTATTATTACACAAAATCATGCCATTCAAGAAAATGATATCAAAGTTACTTATATAAGAAAGAATCACTTGAAAAATTATTATACATTATTTGCAGAAGTGAATGGAAAAACATATACTCGTAGATCCGTCACAGATGAAAATAGTGGTAAAATGTTATTAGATTGGCAAAATTTGAATGTATATGATCATAACCAAATCACACAATGTAACAAATGTCTTAGATTTCACCATACTTCATATAAATGTTGAAATAATACAGTGTGCGTCAGATGTGGAGGGAATCATGAAAGTCGCCCATGCAACATTGAAGTAAATAGATGTGCAAATTGCATATATTTTAATCAGAAATATAAAAAAAATTATAACACCGACCATGTACCAACTGACCAAAAATGCCCAGTTTATAAATATATGCAGTCGGAATATCTTGATTCAATCGATTTTTGAATCTAAAGAAAAAAAACTAATAAATAAAAAAGTAAAATAAGTAAAACAACATTCCCAAAAACTTACATTTTTTGCAATGGACAATTACATAGCTAATTTTTAGATTGCAAAAATAAAAAGAAATTATATAGTTCACATGGGTCAATTAGATCTTTTAATGACTAGTGGAAAGATACGTTTAAAAATTTTACACATAAACTTAAGAAGTGTTAATCACTGAGCTTATTCTTTATCTGACACATTCGATATTTTGATATTAACGGAAACGTGGAAGGCATTCTGCCTTTTATATAGTTTTGTACTAAGTTATGGATCAGTACATAAGAGATATCAATTATACACAATTTAACACCAAAATCCTGAATAATGCATCAGAGTATAATATTTCAGAAGGAAAACAATTTAGCATATTTTTTCAAAATATTAGAAGTATATCAAAGAATTTTGACGTATTAGAAATATACTTAAATTCTTTTAATAAGAAATTCTACGTTATCATTTTAACTGAAACTTGGAATATTGCAGATGTTATTTTTTCCAAGCTAAATGGTTATAAAGTGTTCTACAACAATGAAAATTTTAACCAAAACGATGGTGTTATCATCTACGTAAACGAAATCCTAAATTCTACGTCAGACACTATACAGTTCACCGAGTGTACAGGGGTACTTACTAAGATAAATATACATAAAATTGTTATCTCAATAATATCTTTCTTCAGACTACCCTCAACTGATATAAAACAGTTCTTAGTCGATCTCAAATATTATTTAAAGGGTCATGTTATAAATACAGACTCCTGCGTTTTAAATGGAGACTTCAACATAAAAATCTTGGATAGTAACAATTTGCTTGTCCATGAATATCTTAACGTGTTGACTAAACTTCACCTCAATTATGAATATTCCGACTAGAGTTTTTGACGCCTCATGTACTTGTATTGACCGCCATTTTTTAAGAAGTAAACTAGAAAATCATAATTATAAAGCTTTCGTAATAAAATCAGTATAGTACAGTATCAACTCTACCCCTTAACCTTGAAGATTTTGAACATACTAACCCTAATAAAGCGAAGTATAAAGAATATAATAGATAACGAAAAACTGATAATAGACTTAAAATCTGAAACCTGGAACAACTTATATAATATAAGAAACGTTCACGCAGCAACTAAATATCTGACTACAGCAATCACTGAAAGTATTTCACAAAATACCAAGAAAATTAAAATAAATCGTAAAAACAGTCCAAGAAAAAACTGGATAACTGCTGGACTACTTAAATCTATCAATGAAAAACGAGAAATATAAATTATATAAGACAAATCCAAAATAAAACAAAATTATTTATACTATATAACTAAACTCTGCCAATTGATCAACATTTCGAAACAAAAATATTACACAGAAAAACTACAAACCAACAAATTGACTCTAAAATACTATGGAATACCATAAATCAGATCCGTAATTCATACAAACCTGAAACAAAAATTGAAGGAATAAAATAGAAGTAGGGAAAAAATTAGCGATAAAAATAAATAAACCTAACACAAATATTCCGCCTAGAAAATGTATACAACAATCGATTTTCTTAAAACCTGTGTCTGGAAATGAAACAAAAAATGCCATACACAGTTTGAGAAATAAAAAAAGCCCAGGTCTTGATGGTAAAAAATCAGAAATGTTAAAGAAAATTTCATCCGAAATTAGTAAGCCCTTGACGTACATAGCGATAATTGAATCGGGAGAATTTCCAGATGATTATAAAGTTGGAGTAGTAAAACCCATTTACAAATCCGGTGAAAAAACAGATACTAACAATTACATGCCTATAACTCTAATATCCAGCTTTGCAAAAATTATTGAGAAAATTATAAAAACACGGCTCTTAAATTTTTTTGATAAACATAATCTGATTAATGAAAAACAATTTGAATTCCAGAAAAACAAGTCTACCCAAGACGCAATTTCTTTTCTGACATCAAAATTATACAAATTACTGGACCAAAGAAATCTTACACGACTCAGGAATTAGAGGCAAGGCGTATGACCTCAGGAAAAGTTACCTTTCCAACAGAACACAAATAAATAATGCTTTAAGCACAAACAAATTGATAACATATGGTGTCCCACAAGGGACAGTGTTAGGCCCTTTATTATTTACACTTTACATTAATAGCCTGCTGAGCTTAAAATCTGAAGGGACAATCATATGTTTTGCAAACGATACTGCTATCATTTATTCAGATAACAACTCGTGGGATGATCTAAAAGTGAAGGTTGAAAGAGACTTAACAATAATTGCAGACTGGTTCAGACATAAATGCCTAACTATTAACTTTCAAAAGACTATGCTCATGTCATTCACAAATCACAGAAACAAATTACCATCCTTTGTACCTATACAGATTAACTGTGATAATATAAATACTCAAATAAATTTGACAAACGAAATAAAATATTTAGGTGTATATTTAGACTCAGATTTAAAGTGGAATAAACATATTCAAAAATTTTATATCATGCTATGATCGATAGTCGTATAAGTTACGCAATATTAGGTTGGGGTGGAGCACTTAATAACCAAATTAATAAATTAGAAATTATCCAAAAACGATTTTTAAAAATAATCTTTGACAAGCCACTCTTATACCCATCTGATATGTTGTATTCTGAAGCAAAACTATTAGACCCTAGGCAACAATGTTTTTATAAAATTATAAATTATCAATTTCACCATAGAAATAATCTTATTCCGTTAGATCACTTATATCAAACTAGAAACAAAAATCAACAACATTAAGCAAACACCTTTCACCTCAAAAAGTATAGGCCAAAGATGTCATACTTACCTTTCCAGTAGATTATACACCTATAACATATTACCAAATTATATAAGAAATATTTCAAATAAAAAAAATCAAAATTGAAGCCAAAACATTTATCATTGAAAACATCGACATCAAATTGCAAACATGATACGTATGAAAGAAATTTAAAATTAATGTAGTAATAAAAAACCTCCAACGTTCATATATATGTATGTATGTATATGTATGTGCAGGTGTGTATGTGTATGTGTGTATGCGTAGATGTATATGTCAGGGTGTTCCTTAATGATATGCGAATATTTAAGGGTTTGAATCTACATGAAAAATTAATGTTAGTTTGCTTTATACATTATGGTCCAAAAATGTTTGCTTACAAAAGCTCGGGGTATTGAAGTTTTAGGAAAAGAATGGAAATTAATTAATATTTTCAGAACCGCTTCAGATATTTCACTAGTGTAGTGAAAGTTAATAAAGTTGCATATTTTTTAATGCAACAAATATTTTTAGCTCTAACAGTGGCGTGCGTACGGGTTTTGGCCTTTACGTTTAAAAAAAATGGTACGCCAATGGTTTTTTATCAAATAAATATTTTTGAATTCCCCCTCAATTTAAAACAAATGATCTCTCTCGAATTGTTTTCCTTCGATGCGCCATTTTTGAGTAAAGAAATAAAGACCGTTATATTTTCTAACTTGCAAATTATTATTAATTTAATTGGAAAAATTAAACACATTAGGGATAATGAACAACAACAACTGACAACATAAACATAATATTAAAACCAAGAAAATTATTACAAAAATTGTTGAAAATGGCCCCCTTTACTTAGTATGCATGCTTCCGCCCTCCTTCTCATGGAATTGGGCACTCGTTGAAATATCCCGCGAGTGTTTTTTATCACAAGCTGAAACTATTCTTTCTCTTAATTCCTCTACAGTGTTAATGGGACTTGTGTACACTAGTGTCTTAAAATCTAAACTGTTGAGGTCTGGAGACCTTGGTGACCATTCTTGGGGCCCACCGCGGCCAATCCAACGATTTGGATAA